TTATTTCAAAAGAACATTGATCGGCCAGCGAGATAGCTCAGTGGACGCAAGCCCCTGTTTAGGCAAGTGCAAGGACCATGGTTGGATCCCCAGCACCATATGCTGTGCCAGCCCCGCCCCCAGGGTGAACTGAGCTGGCCACTGAGTCCAGGCATAGTGGCATACGCCTGTGATCCCAGTACTGCGGAGGCTGAAAACAGGAGGATCACTATGAGTCTGAGCTCCATAGTGAGACCTTGTAACAACCAAATACATTAAAAAAGAAAAGAAAATTGACTTCAAAAATTGAGTACCGAACACATAGGATTTTTCTAGCATCAACTGCAAGTGTCTATTTTCAACTCATCCTTCTAACTGAGAGTCCTGATGCCATACATTTATGATACCTGGGAAGTCCAAATAACAAAACACCCCCGGTGAAGGTTTTCATATTGAAATTTGACCGAAGTTTTCTTTCTTTGCCCATTCAAAACAACTATGCATAGTCTAAACAGTCACTGATCCTTACAGTGCCCTAGTGAGAATGGTAGTATTATGTTCTGGTTTCTAAACAATCATGTGGAAGTTTGTTAATTTGCCTACTACCAGGAAAAGAAGTAGTAATTATGATAAAAGTCCAAAGTTCTTGAAGCCAATTCTCTGTTCCAACTTGGGACACTTGCCATTACTTGCCACCTAAACTGAAGTACTAAGTGCTATATCATCTAACCAATGTGAATTCTGGCTTCTCTGGATCTAAGTAATTTTAGTTTCCTTGTTTCCCCCTTTCTCATGCTAAAATTAGCCTCAAGGTTGGAGAAACTGGCTGGAAAGTTCAATATCAACTCAGATTGTTTTCCGTCACTTGACCAAACCTCGAATGCTAAACATTTCTAACATTCAAAGAGGATTTGTTTAAATTTCCCAGTTTTACCCTCCTGGTTTCAAATGGCACGAGAAACAGAAGTGCCAAAGCTCTGTAAGAAGAAACTATTCCAAATAAGCTTTCTGGCTCAAGGCAGGTCTGAAACGATCCAGATGCATCAAAGAGAAGTAGCCAAGAGCCTGGATGCCTGTGAAAACAGAGCCGCTGGACCCTGGAAGGGTGGGCTGCTACCAGTGGGAACAGTCAAAGACTGAGCCCTTCTTTTGAAGCAAGCACAGGGCAAGCCATCTGCACAGCAGTGGCTGGAGAGCCAGGCCAGGTATCCCTTGGGAGGAGGTCAGCCCACAGTGGTCCTGCCAAGGCCACCTGCAATGTTGCCTACTGTGGGGACACAGACACATGGAGTGTGTCCAGAAAAACTCCCAGGACTCATATGTTTCCAAACTGCAAACTAGGTGAAAACTGAGAGTCTGATGACCTGGAAGGAAAAAGCCTTCTGTTTCCATCTCATGACCACCTGTGAGGCAGACGCGATGCACTGTGATCCTCCCTCTGCTGTGTGTGTAACCTCAGACTACAAACATGGCCCAGACACAGGACTCAAGCTGAGCAGTCCAAATGACAATCCAGGAGACTGTAACCTTGAGAATGAGAGCCATGCCTCTTGTGGGTTTCTGCTGTCGAGAAATATCCAGGACTTTAAAAAGTATGCCAAGGCAACAAGAGAGAAGGATAAGATGCTTCAAGAAACTCTGAGAAGCAAACTAATCTCAAAAATGTAAACAATTACCATCATATTCTTTCTTTACTAAAACCTAACATGTACTGCAATTCTTCCCCAACTCTATTTATTTTTTATTTTTGTTAATGCATTTGGTATAGGGTCTCACTACACAGCTTGGGCTTGTAGTGACCCTCCTGTTTTCAGCCTCCCCAGTGCTGGGATCACAGGTGTGTACCACCACTCCCAGTCTCACTGGCTGGCTCACTGTGCCTAGGGTTGGAGTTGGTGAGGTCCCCAACTTGAATATGCATAGAAATTACTGGGGTACCTTGCATGAACACAGAATACAGAGTCTGACTCAGTAAGCCTGGGAGGGAGCCTCAGAGTCTGATTCTTACCAAGTTCCCAGGTAGTGTGACTGCTGCAGGCCTGCAGTCCCCGTGTACAGTAGGAGAGCAGCTCAAATGCATCCACTGGAAACAATCATCATTAAACAGCTTTGCATACCATTAGGGACCATTTGTTTGACTGGCTGGTTTTAATATCTTTCTTTTTTCCTTCCTTCCTTCTTTCATTTTTGTACATTATTTCCCCCACAGAGCAATACATCTTCATCTAAGGGAAGGGGAGGGTCCACCTCTGCTTGCATTTGCTGGCCAGAAAACCTGTTTTATCACAGGCAAGTAGAGTTCAGAGACAGTGTGCAGCAATCGTGTAACGAAACGCCAAGCAGAGAGTGTTTTAATTGGATTGGACTGCACACAGAGGTCTGTACATTAATTATAGGGTTGCGCAACTATGCATCTTTCAACCTTCGCTGGTATTTTTATAGGGCCATTTAAAAAGACACCTGAACATTTTTCCCCACCCCACCCCCAAAAGTGGTGCTTAGAAGCAGTCGCCGATCTCAGCGAGGCCAAAAACTGCCTTCATGTTACTTGGCAGAGCAACATACTCTGCAGTAGACTCATGGGGACAATTCCCCAGATAGCAGCCACAAATCTGAGTCACTTGGAGGAACAAGGACAGAGGGTGTGGGTCAACACTGAACTTAAAGAATCCAACTGCTCTGGTTAAAATGGGATTAAGCATTTCTCTAGGCGGTGAACCGATGACAGACGTGTCTTTTCATCTTGAGCTCCTAAGGAAGTGGGAAGGTCATGTTCACCAGTGACTGGCTAAGTCTTTACTGATTGTCATGACCTGAACAAGGCCCAGAAAACCCTCAGTTGTTGCCTCACTGAGCTGTGAGACTCTGTGGTGTGGTGGCAGCAGTTCACCCTGGAATGCAGTCCTCAGCTGGTACATAGGTCAGCGCTCTGCCCCCTGGTGACCTGCAAACACCAGCTGGTGGTGACAGAGTCCTGGCCACAGTCTGACACTGTCTTCAAATTCTGATCCGTCCTGTGAAGACCACCTGGGAAAGGTCCCTATCAACCTATACGGAGACTCAGAGAAAAGCCAAGAATTTAGGCAGTTAGTGGACACTTCCAAAGCCTCTTTTCAGGCATCTAGACACCTAAGGCTAGAAGCATCTGGGGAGTTTCTAAAATGAAATAGCCAAAGGATTAATCTGCCTCTACTTCGCTACTCGAATTTCTCAATTACTGTGAAGCCTGAGTTGACTCTGGGCTGGCAGCTGCAGGCACAGCCCTCAGCTCCCAGTGCTCTTCTAGCAAAGAGTAAGAGGAGAAGAGAGAACAGAACCCGGATGGAGCTGGGCTCAGGCTGGACTTTTTAAAGGGATAGAATAACCCAGGGACTCAAAGCAGTCTAAGCTAACATGGGATTTGCATTGAGAATCAATATGAAACACACATCGCCTTTAGGTATGAACAAGGTTCACAAATGAAATACAGGCACTCTTATTCTCCTAACTGTGAGCAAAGCTATCGACATACAGTCAGTTAATTTCTAAGCTGCCTGGGAGAAAGCAGTCTCTAGAGTTTCAATTCCTGGTTTGGTCAAAACCAGAGTAAGTAAAACTCATGTGCACTTTGAAAGACTGTGCCACTGAAATTAATGTCGTTGTGGGCCTCTGGGTACACAAAATTAGCTGGATGCAGACAAACGGAGGGATTACTGAGGTGTCCAGACTTTCTGAAATATCTCCACTGGCTTTTGCCTGCAATTCAGAGTTGGCATTTAGACCTATCATTTCAGTTTCGCTCCAGTGTGTGTGTTGAAAGTTCACATGCACACAGTGTGTGGGGGGTGCAGATCAAAGTGAAGTAAAAACTTTCCCTGGCAAAGAAGAATCATTCTTCATCCCAGGACTCCAAAGAGATTGGTGCTCTACTTTTCAGCAGGTAAAACTGATGGGCAGGAAAAAAAATAAATATATATGTGTGAGCAGAATCGTTGCCCACATCCTATTTTAGTGCCCCAAATAAGCATGGCTTCCGAAGGCAAAGGACAAACTGTGTCTCTTTCACTAGGCAGCCCCTTGAGAAGAGGCTGCATTCCTGTGATGCTTCCTGCAGGTTCCTGTAGCTATTGTGAAGTCTTAATGGGTCCAGAGTGTAGTTTTACCCTATGCAGGTGCGAATTAGCCTACTGATTGAACCAGAGAAAGGCGCCGTAGCAGCTCTTGACAGGTGAAAACAGAAACAGCTGCAGAGTGGCCATGCTGTGTCCCAAATACACAAGTTCTCCTTCCTTTGTCTTCCTTTAGTTTCCTAGTATGACTCTGTGTTGGGCAGGTCACTAAGAAAATACTATGGTTTGATCTCTTTTCTGAAAGAGATACCTATTAAAGATGCCCACTTAGTGGAAATAAAACCATACCATTTTGACTTTGTTAAAATATCTTACTATTTCAAAATGAAGATACTTTCCTTTTTCCAGGCTCTTTTAGGGATCAGACTTTCACTGAAATATTTTCTTCTATTTATTTTTCCCTTTTAGAGTTTCACTTATGCTATTATAATCATCACCAAGGCCTGAACTCTCCCAGTGCTGATGCCCAGCATTTGAAATGATGGGAGCCACATCCTGTCTCAGCAGCAGCTTGATGCCAGCATTGAATTACTATTGAATAAGCAGCAATGAAATCTTTATCAAAATAATCAGTAGTTCCGAAAACCACAAATAACAACAAGAGGAGCTGAGCTGCATTCAATCAGCAAAGAGCACTGCGATATAATAAGAGACTGAGTCACTTTTCTTTTACATTCCCTCTCCTATGAGCTCTGCTTGATGATTTTCTTACACAGCCTGGGGGAGGGCAGGTGGAGGGAAGGAAGGGCATTGCTCAGAAAGTTAAAAAAAAAAAAAAAATTTGACATCACTTAGGTCACATGATTGGCAAGAACCAATAGAGATGGGATGTGGAAAGGGGAACAGTTAAATTTGTAATTTGGGTTGTGTGAAAACTTCTTTGGGCCTCATAAACAACCACAGAACCACAAGTTGGGTAGCCTGGCAGAGTCAGAAGTCTGAGCCCGGCATAGTGGTCAGCAGGCGGGACGAATCACACTGAATGCAAACCACAGGGTTTCGTAGAGCGGTAAGGATCCCCAACCCACAGATGAGGCTCCGTTTTTTTTGTTGTTTTTTTTTTTTTTTTTTTTTAAGCTTGAACAATTTGAATATTTGTTTTCACAAAGGTACATTTTTCGTAGGGCTCAGGGAGCCCCAGAGATGTGGAGGAGGGGAGAAAAGAGATCCAAGGAACTGTGGTGAGAGATGGGGTTCCACAGTGACCGTTCTTGGTTTTCGCTCCAAAGGTAAATCATTGAATCCCCCGCCTTCAGAAGAGAGTACGTTTTCGCAAGGAAGCAATGGCTTCAGACAGCATATTTGAGTCATTTCCTTCGTACCCACAGTGCTTCATGAGAGGTGAGTACGCGCTGTTCTTTTAATATCTACTTTTGCTCAGCTCTGCAAGTAACGAAATGGCAGCTGGTTGGCCGAAGGTGCCGAGAGCCCCAGGGTGCTGGCTGATGCCCTGTCTGTCTGGTGTGAGGAAATCAAACAGGGGCATATGATACGAGGCTATTGGGTTACTTTTTCATCCCATGGCAGCTCTTTAGAAATGTTTTAATAAATGCTTATTTAAGCTGTTGGAGTGCTCAGTGGCTGTACAAGAATTGTGTCAAGTGTAAGTTAAGTTGTGCTGTTCTTGTTAAAGTCCTAGAGATTAGGAAAACTGCACGAAGCTCCCTCAATTTTATTTGGTCATTCCTTCCCTGGAATGACTCTGTCTCAGTTATCTTGGGCTCAGCATGCTGCATGGCCCACACTGTAGCCGGTCCTGGGGCTTAGCAGGCACGTGTGCTGAGCCGGCCAGGAGGGCTGCTGCCAATGCGGAAGGTGGAGGTGCTCATAGATAACCTTCCACCAGCCTGGCGAGCTCAGGGCCGAAGGGGCAACTCTGTCTGGAGCCAGCAGATTTGCTGAAGTTAAAAACATCAGGATGGAGATGTGCTATGCTTTTTTCTTGTAGCCTGACTTTCAAAGAGGCAATGGGTACCTTTCAAGAGGGGAAGCAAGTTTGTGGCATATAAGGTATCCGTCTCTCAAAAAGAGCAATGAGAACGTTTCTTAACTGTTCGGTCGGCTGAAATCATTACACTGCATGATCTGGAATAGGCATTGCTAGTGTGCAAAACCTGTGGACAGTTTTGCAATCAGCCTCTTGAAAGGTCAAAGCTGGACTTCAGTTGTGTGTGTGTGTGTGAGAGAGAGAGAGAGAGAGAGAGAGAGAGAGAGAGAGAGAAAGAGAGAGCAGCTTGCATTTCTCTAGTGGTAAAACTAGGGCTTTGCTTAAACAAACAAAAATAATGACATGGAAATGTCAGGAAGGCATTGCTGTGTGTCCAGGCACACACTTTGACCAGTGTCCCTAGAACACGGCTTGATGGTTTGGCAGAGCTGGGATGGCCCAGTACAGGATAGGGGAGCAGTTAATTTTCTGTCTGCAAACTCTCATGTGCACACCCAAACAGTATCTGTGACTCATTCTACATTCCTCCAGCTCAGCGAGCAGGAGACGGCTAAAAAGGCTTGCAGGGCTCTCGGCCACAACAAGCGCTGTTGTGAGTGCCACGGAGCTTCTCTGCTTCCGGGTCCTTCTAATTTACAAACTTGACAAAGCTATGTGTGTAGTCAGGGAGCATCAAGCAAGTAAGAAAAGAAAGCGAGCCATTAACTGATTCCGAGCTCTAAATTAAAAGGTTTTCAAGTGCTCCTTCCTGGCAGCCGAGGAAATTCAGTGAAGCTGAATCAGGCGGACAGCACAGTGAATCACACATTTTGCAGAGCTATGCGTGAAGTGGCAGGGACAGAGAAGCTGGCTGCGGGGTGAGAAGCCGCAAAGCTCCCGCTGGCTGCATTTCCTCTGGCAGCTAACAAGCAAAGGAAGCAATATTTTGTAGAATAACAGAAAAGAGATCTTCCTGCCTTTCCTCTGCTTTCAATGCCCACTCCACACATTTATTGTTTCCTATTTTATCGACTCAGGAAGGCAGATTCAGGAAATTTTCAAGCATTCCACTGGGCAATAGGTTGGATACTTGCATGTAGTGCTGGGCTTGGGCTTCAGAGCTGTCCTTAGCCAGCAATAAAGATAATTAGGGGACATGGTGACCTACCCAGACACTAGGAAATGGAAGGAGTCTAGGCCTGTCAGAGCCCACAGCTGTTAAGACCACAGGGCAATCAGCCCTGGCTCCTGCAATGTTATTTAGTCCGTAAGGGGTCCCCCTGGCAGGGCCCTAGCTCAAACCAAGACTCAGAAAGGCTGATCTAAAAAGATCTCATTCCTACCTCACTGCAAAAGGAGCTCAGAGACTTTCAGAATCTCCAACCTGGTCATCATATACTAAGATTTAATTTCAGATGGCCAGTGAAATCTTAGCACCTTCCCAGCTCACTTCATCCAAGGTATCTATCAGCACCAGCGTGTAAATTGCTCAGATTAGCTCTCGCCATCTTGCAGCTGAGCCAGAGAGGTTGCAAAATATCCTTTCTTCGGGTGCCATTGGATAACACTTTCGATAGAGCCTCATGTGGGACGCATCGTCATCCCCACCAACAGTTCTCCCCGCATGGTTCTTCCTTGCTCATGTCCACAGCCCATCCACCTGCCATTTTCTCATGGTCACTTCTCTGCCTGTAATTTCTGGAGCATGCTCCCTCCACAGTGTCTCATTTTGTTCCTGGGACGGTACTTCATCAGTCTGCACAATTCTCACAGAAGGAAACTGGTAACTCCTTCTAGCCAGATACCCATGTAGAAGCAGGGCAAGGAGAGATGTGGAATGGAGTAAACCCTTGTTCTCTTCCTCACGAGAGCAGGGCAGCACTGCAGAAACTGGCATGTGAGATGAATGTGGTCTACCACAGAGAACACGGCTCTTTTTCTATCATACCACACCAGCCTCTCAGTCTGCTCAGGCAAGAAGATAAGATGCGATTGAGATTCCCTGGAATTGTCATATGTGGTTTGCTACCCCAAATGCTTGCAGAACTCCAACTTGGTTCCCTCCCCCCAGTGCGAAATGTGGACCAAAAGAGCTGTGGTAGGTTAGGATGGGAAAAGCCCCAGTGGATGCAGGGTTTTGCAAAGTGCCTCAGGTAGGCTTGCTCTTAGAAGTGGCTTAGTGGTCTGTGCAAAGGCTGAATGCAAAGATGCCTCTGAGTTCCTAGAACGACAGGTAGACTCTCAGTGACACAGCTCCTCCTGTGCTGGCTTCTGTGTGGCTCAAGCTTACCCCACCAGAAGAATCTGTCAAGGGCAATTGCAAAATTCCAGGCTGATGCCTGCAGTGTGCTTTTCCATTCCAAGCATCAACTTGCCATCGCCTTTAAAAATATTTATTAGACTACACTGAAGATTTAAGAACACAGAAAGCCATAGATTTAACTATCTCTGGCATCAGCCACTGTGTAAAATCTGTGTTCTTCTGAAGCTCAGGCTGTCAAAACCCAGTACCACACAGTTGATGGCTTAAAGAGTGAATATTCATTTTTTTTTCATAGCTCATGAAGCTGGAAGACTAAGAGCAAGATGTTAGAGGGGCTGATTTCTTGCGTAGTCTCTTTCTGAGGCTTGTGAATGGCCACATTCTCCCCAGACTTCCTGTGTGTCCTAAAATCCTTCTCTCATCAAGACACCTGTGTATTGCATCTACACTCTCACCTCACGCCACCCAAACTGCCTGAAAAATAAGAAAGACTCTCCCTCCAAATCTAGTCACGTTCCAAGAAACTGGGAGCTAGGACTTCAACAGAGGAATCTGGGGGACACCGGGTAGCCCCAGCAGTGGATCACAGCAACCTCTCTTATTGGGCCACAAATAAATTGAGGCAGTAACCTCCTGATCGCTTTTCTGGATGTGGAAGAAATCAGGCCCTTGTGAAATGGAGTTCCACATCTGAAACTGCCCATGCATTTTGAAACATTTTTTAATAAAGGTGTCAAAAATGATCTAAATTCATACCCCTTGACATTTAGTCTCTTTGCACCCTGACAAGCTTTTGAGAATGTTTTAAAAGAGAAAAAAGCAGTCCTCAAAAAAGCCTGCTCTGCCTTCTCCAGCAGGATTTGTCCCCACACCTCAGATGCCTCCCAAGCAGCACTTTACCAGCCAGGATTGGGAACACAGGGGACCCCATGGTGACTTGCACACTGAGTGCAGGATAGGAAGTGACAGGTCACAGAAGCACCTGCAAAATCAGTGGCTTGCCCTGCATCCGGAAGCCAGAAGTCTCTTAGAGCTGCCAGAAGCAAGAGAGTAGCTGGGAGATTCCTGCGCTCCCTGGAAATAGATCACCAGAAAGATGTGCCCAGGAAAGATGCAGGCTGCCTCTGTGACCATGCAAGCCTGGAATGCTGTTGAGACAGGCAGGGGAGGCCAAGGGCTGCTGCATGCACAGAGCCCAGGGCTCAGCTGCACGCAGACAGCTGGAGAGAGCCTAGTGCGAAAGAGCGGCTATGATGAGACCAGGCTGGGCAGGAGGTGTGAACACAGAATGCGGTCTTAGAACACTGTGACCCTGCTTCCTTTCCCTTTAGTCAAACAGCATGCCGAGCTTCTCTCCTGAGCCTCCGTTTCCTCTTCTGCCAAAAGCACAGCAGCAACGTCTGTCTTTGAGGTAGCTAATGTAGACTCAGTTAAACAACTGTGGAGGGCAGCTGGCAGAACACGCACGTACACATAGTCAGTAGTCACTGTGGCTAGTGTCTGCAGTGTCCTGCCCTCTATGATCAAAGTCAGCTACTCAGTTCTGTCTGCTCCAGGAAAAAATAAACATTACAATGTCCTGGAGCCCATCTAGGAGGCTCCCTGGAGGAAGGAGCACAAGTAGGGATAGGAAAGGTGGGGAGCATGGGGACAAAGAACAGAAGAAAGAGGGTCCCATAGAAGGTCCAGAGCAGTCCAAAGTATTTCTGTAGGACCCCATGTGGGGGTCAGAAGCAGTAAGATAATCAGGCCCATGAGGGCCTTTTACTTTTATATTTTGTGTACTGAGGATTGAATTTAGGGCCTTTGCATTGAGCTATATCCCCAAACCCTCCTTTTTTAATTTTAATTTTGAAAGTGTTTCAAGTCACTAAGTTGCCCAAGCTAGACACAAATGGCAATTCTGCCTCAGCCTCTGCCCTGCTGGGATTACTAGTATCTACCATTACGCCCAGCTTCACCCTTCTCTCTCCTTGCCAGTGCCCACAGAGAAGGCAGAAAGAGGTCAAGAGCCCTCGTGTCTATTCATGCCCAAGCTCAGTTTTTCAATATGGAAGCTGACTGAGGCACATTGTAACTAAGGTCTTTGGACTGAACAGAGAGATCATTCCACTGTTTGGAGTTCTCTTGTAAGTCAGTGTCTAGAAGGAT